CTTTCCTGGCGCTATGGTTTGCAGGTGTCCCCCAAACCATATGTTGGAAACTTAATGTACAATTCAAAAGTGTGATGGAAACTTAATCTATGATGTGACAGTGTTGAGGAGCAGAACTTTTCAGAGGCAATGAGGTCATGACGGCTCTGCCCTCATGGATGGACTAATGCTATTATTACAAGTGTGGGCCCCTCTTGCTGTCTCTTCTGTGTCCTCGCACCATGTGATGCCTTAACCATCTTACAATACAGCAAGAAGACGCACATCAGATTCGGCCCTTCCATCTTGGACTTCCCAGCCTCCAGAACCATGACCAAATCAACTTCTATTGCTTGTAAGTTATCCCAAAATCTGTGGTATTCTGTGATAACAGCCCAAAATGGACTAAGAAATCTGGTATTCAAGCCCTTGTGTAGTCCCCTTCCAAAGCGCACCAGGGATGTTCTGTGTGAACCATAAAAAAACAGAGAAGTGATAGTATGTTTCTTCTGTGATTAGGTTATAAAGGATATGACAGCTTTCATCTTGGTCAGTCTCTCTCTCTCTCTCTTTTTTTTTTTTTTTTTGAGATGGAGTCTTGCTCTGTCGCCCACGCTGGAGTGCAGTGGCACGATCTCGGCCCACTGCAACCTCCACCTCCCGGGTTCAAGCGATTCTTCTGCCTCAGGCTCCCCAGTAGCTGGGACTACAGGGGCGCACCACCATGCCTGGCTACTTTGTTTGTATTTTTAGTAGAGACAGAGTTTCACCATATTGGCCAGGCTGGTCTCAAACTCCTGACCTCGTGACCTGCCCGCCTTGGCCTCCCAAAGTGCTGGGATTACAAGCGTGAGCCACCGCGCCTGGCCCTCTCTCTTTTTCTCTCTGATCACTATAGGTAACTAATACAGGACCTCTTACTCATCTCAGCTCCTGTAAGAGTATCTGGCATTTAGCAAATTCTTAATCAATGGTGATCAAATGAATGAATGAACAAATGTGGCTACACTTAAGTAAACTAGCAATGCAGTCAGTCTAAGCTAAGAGTTGAGACATTTCATATGTAACTTGAATGTGGTTTATCTTCTCAGGAATTCCTACCAAGTGATAATGTGGCAATGGAGAATAGAATAAACTATAGAAAGATGATTTAACTTATTGATCTGAGCAAAAACCTAAGATGATTGTAAACAAAATTTTATACAGCACAAAAATGAATCATAAAAAATAAATGACACGCACAAATCTCCAAAGTAAGTTTTTATTACAAAAACTTTTAATACAATTCAATGTTTTATTAAGATTAAAGTCAGGACCTTGACAACCTACTGAGTTGTAAGGAAACACATGAGGAAAGTCAACATGTCTCTAGGCTGACTTGAATTATTCCTTGACTAAAAATTCTAGGGTTATGTGGACTTTTCTGTTATCCTGACTTAACTCCTTTCTTTAACAGCAAAAAAACAGCAGGAATAAAATTCTTGGCAGACTGCTCTACAGAATAAAGTGAACAACAGAAAATATAGATATGAAGTGCAGAAGCAGCACCACAAGAGGGGGCTGTACACTCAAGAAAGAATAGTTGGTTAGCGAAGTTTCTCTATTATCGGAAAAAATTAAAAATACTTTGAGAAGTTTATTCCATGCCTTCATCTTTACAGCCCAGCTAAACAATCCCACAAAAATGAGAAACTAATGTTTTACAAAGCCCCTCAGTCTCCTTCAAGAGAGTGGAGGATTTATTAAGGATAGGCTATTTTGTTGTCTGCAAAGCTCTCCTTTCATCTACCCTAATGCCTCAAGATGCAAAGCTCTCCTTTCATCTACTCTAAAGTCTCAGGATGCTGGATAAAGCCGTTTCCCCGTAAGGTGAGCGTATGCTTGCAGGCAGGTGTGAGCCTTCAGGCAGAGTGTGGTGTCATTGTTTTTGTAGGCAACTTGGTGTAATGAGAAGACCAAAGACCTTGGTGTCAGACCAACATGAGTTCAAGCTCTGGCTCTGCCATCAGTCAGGCAGGTGACATTGAAGTGATTTAGTTCCCTTAAGTCTCAGTTTACTCATTCACCTATAAGTTGTGAGAATGAAATGAGATGTAGGTAAAGTGCTTAGCCTAGAGTCTGGCGCTTATGTTAACAATTAAGGGCCATTATTATTGTCTTTTATTTATTATTTAGTTCTATCATCTGTAGCCACCTAATTCTTAGTCTAGCAATTGTGGAGCAGGAGTCATCAAGATAAAAAATATAATCTGATTTGTTCTTTTTGTTGGTTTTACTAAAAAACCTTAGATAACCTGAGATATGTTGTTCTTTTGGATGATTAAAAAAAAACATTTAAGGCCGGGCACGATGGCTCATGCCTATAATCCTAGCACTTTGGGAGCTGAGGTGGGTGGATCACCTGAGGTCAGGAGTTCAAGACCAGCCTGGCCAACATGGTGAAACCCCATCTCTACTAAAAACACAAAAATTAGCCAGGCATGGTGGGGTGTGCCTGTAGTCCCAGCTACTTGGGAAGTTGAAGCAGGAGAATCACTTGAACCTGGGAGGCAGAGGTTGCTGTGAGCCAAGATTGCACCATTGTACTCCAGCGTGGGTGACAAGAGTGAAACTCCGTCTCAAAAAACAAAAACAA